GGGTTTGGAGAAGGGGAGAAAAGAAAACAAGCAGACCTGTATCTTTCTTAAACTCAAGAAGTCACCCTGTGAATTCTCTAGGAGACATCCACAAACCAGAGTTTTTATGAGATGTAACTTGCTTTTCATACTATGAGTACCCTATAGTAGGTTTTATCACTTTTTCTTCACTTCGTAAATGATTAATAACAAGGTTCAATTTCTATACCTCCTCGAATGCACTCCTGTGCTATACATTCAATAAGTACACAGCCTGCATTTTGCCAGATGTAGATGATGACTATTTGAGTATTCCAAAGGATTCTATATATTGGCCACCTTGTACAGAGAGTCTAATTATATTCCTACACATGTATCTGCATCTAGTGGTGCTTAACTTACAGCTGACTGCTGATGCCACAGGACCATTTGCTCCAACCATGGTGGGCAGGATTATTCGACACATGGCTTGTATGCTGTAGCAGGGTGCCCCATAGGTTGTTCGAGTTGTGAGTAAACCTACTGTTATAAAAAGGAGACGACTTAACAAAAACATGTGAATAAACATCTCACATTTTAGCCAAAGTAAAGACAAAGTAAATAATCTACATTGATTTTAGCAAATTAAGTGAATAAAAGAAATTAATAGAATTGTACTTTAGCAAAGTCGAAAAATAAGATTAAAACTACTTGTGGAAAGTTGTTAAATACTTTAACAAGAATCTGTTAAAATTGGTGAAAATTTACCCATTGAATCTGTATTATCCGAAGCAGTAAAATATATAAAGGTTGCTATGCAAGAATGAATTATTATGTGATCAGTGAACTATTTCCTTTTTGTGAGTAGTCTAACAATTGGTCCACACATGTTCATATTTCGTTATATCATGTACGAACATTTTGTTTTTTTCCTTATATTCCTACTCGTTGTCGGATAGAGAATCAGTACAACTGCGATAGAGAATAGGTACAATTGCCCCTCTCTATCCTACTGTCTAAACAGCAATAAGCATCTGGTAGAAAGTTTTGTGGGCGAGCATTTCAACTTGAAAATGGCGATCAGAAAGAAGTATTTAGACATTTATTTTTGGTTTAACCATCCCATATCGGGAGCCCACTGTATCCGGCGGTAGAAAGGCCACTATGTGGTGTTTAAGTGCTCCGTACCAAAAGGGACTCCGTTTCCAGGGTTCAATGCCAAGACCTCCTCTGGTAAGGATGGAGGAACCTTTACAATTTCATCACGTCCTTTGGTAGTGAAGTATTTGTATTTCATAGACTGTATAATAGCTGCTGAACAGAAAACTTTAATATTGTCCATTTCTTAGTTGTATCATATATCTAGATGATTAATGTCCTACAATTGTGTTAAGGATGGAGGAATCTTTACCTTCACCACACCCCTTGGGTGGTGAAGTATTTGTACTTCATAGACTGTAAAGTAGCTGCCAAACAGAAAGCTTTAATATTGTCCATTTTTTAGTTGTATCATATATCTCGATGATTAATGTTCTAAAGTTGTATTTCTTTGAAGTCGTCAGTTGAAAATATAATTTTCGTATGAAACTTTGTTATTTGTGTTCTGGTCATAAGTTGATGGAGTTTCTGATTTTCTTTCTTTAGCTGCCAGAGGAACACTTGCATTTATGCTGGGTTTCATTTTATTTCAGGAAATACTGGTTGATAGGTCTGTTCATGCTGCAACTGGCCGCTTTTTTACTAGTGATTTGGGTGTTGGAAGACAGGAAAAACCTCTTTTACTTAAGGATGATTTCCTGCATGCCATGCATGAGTTTGTTCCAGTGGCAATGCGTGACATTACTAAACCGGCTGCTGATGGTGGTCGGTCTGGTTGGGAGGATGTTGGAGGTCTTAATGACATCCGGAATGCTATTATAGAGGTAAATGTTTATTTTCTGCTTTTTGGGGTTGTATATCCTTTACTGCTACACTAATTAATGTTTTAGTTGTTCATTGGATGAGACATTGATGTAAATTTTAAACAAGCAATTATTTATTTTATGTCTATGCGTCGGCTCATGATTTCTGTTCCCCTTTTATGTTTTCCTCTGCTTGTATGGAACATGCAAAGTAGATCGTGCACCTGTCGTCTGACCTGTTGGTCCTAAGCAATGTCTTGCGCGAAGCGACCCACTTAGAAAAAGCTTCCTTTATGTCAGGGGAGCACTAAAAATGCAACTTCGATAGGATGCAGATTTGCATTATCAACATTCATTTGGCACATGGAGGTTAATTTGATCCTCCTTTTTCTTTCAAAACTTTGGGTTCTAATAAATACTTTGTATAATCTTTTAATTATTGAGTTAAAAATTGCCCCCACTGAAGGTGTGGATATGGCAATTTTAAATTATATGCTGGATATGAGAGAGAAAGGAAGTGGACTTCAAATTTTTTACAAAGTCATTTTGTTTCTAATATGATGAGAGAGAAACCTGAAGGTAAAAGCTTTTTTGCCCTTGGACCCATGATTTATACTCCATATTTTATTTCTTTTGAACATTTTAGACTCACCTTCCAACAATCAGAAGAAATGTGATCAATCCATTCAGCATTTTATCAATATAAATTATTCTTTCACATTTGCACTGTTTTCTTCTATTCTTTTTCCATCTCTCCTTTCCATAACAATTAAGAAACTTGCGGATGGCAACATCTATATTGGCTTTCCTGCATGATTAACGATGCTTTTGTAAGGTAAATAAGTTTATTAATATTGGGAAAAGCTCCCATATACAAGAGGTATACGGAAAAGTGGTGACTCTATATCAAAACATAATTCTCTACAATAGACACTCGGTCATCTATACAAATAGGAATCTCATGGGTGCTCTAAAAGCAATCAAAGACATGAGGCTACTCCTCAAATATACAAAATCATTTTCAATATTCCTCAAATGTATAAAATCATTTTCAATCTCCTCAAAGGCTCTCCTATGTCTCTACCTCCGTACAACCCACATTAGACCTAAGGAGGCAACTTCTCATGCCATTGGTCTTCTTTTCCCTCTGGTTGAATGATTATAGTTTGCCTATATTATTGCGTTGGCTTCAATAAAGGCAGCCAATAATTATTACTCATGTAGTGGGATAGAAACATCAACTACTAATTGGCTTGTCAGCTTGTCAGAGAGATGGAATACCAGACACTCTAGAATAACTTTAGCTTGCACTTCTTTCTTTGTTTCATGAGCTTGTTGGGGGTTCTTTTCTTTTTGTCTTGTTTCGTTATGTAACTTAGTTACTCATCTTCTATGTCCAAGTATGCTATCATTCAGCAAATATGGATGAACATCCTTGATAGTGAATGATGATAAATGGTTATAAACCCCTTTTAAGTAGTATGGGTGTTAAGCTAAACAAAAATCATGTTCTAGGGTTTGCATGTGCTTTACTTGAAGGTTCTCTTTTATATTTCATATCAACTTTAGCTTGGATCAATTAGTTCAGCATATCAAGTTCCTGTTTTTGCTGCTGTCAGATGATTGAATTGCCATCCAAATTTCCAAATATATTTGCACAAGCTCCTCTAAGGATGCGGTCCAATGTTCTGTTGTATGGCCCCCCTGGTTGTGGCAAAACACACATTGTTGGTGCTGCAGCTGCTGCATGCTCACTAAGATTTATCTCAGTCAAAGGTCCTGAGCTGCTGAATAAATACATTGGTGCTTCTGAGCAAGCTGTAAGAGAATTTACAACTTTTCCACTTCCCCTAGTACATATTGTTATTATGATGATGCCAAACACNAAAAAAAAGGAAGAAGGGAAAAATCAATAAATAAATTAAACATCAAGACAGAATTTGGATTATCAATCTTCTCGGGTTCAACTTTTGCTCTCATGTCTCATCCCAACCCACCTCCCAGAAGGTTGGTTGCTTAAGTTCAAGATAAGGTCAAACTGGACAAGTAAAACTTGTTTTCCTAATCATGGCCACAATAACTTGAACTTAAGTTTTCATATAATAGATTGGTCAAAGTCTTAAAAATGTTCTGAAAATCTAATAGCTATCTGAAGACCAAATTGTCAACCCCCTACATCCTAGCATCTAGCTTTTCTTGGAGCTTTTGGATTGTTCATGCTAATTATTTTGTTTTAGGTACGAGATATATTCTCAAAAGCAGCTGCAGCAGCACCATGCCTTCTATTTTTTGATGAATTTGATTCTATCGCGCCAAAGAGAGGGCATGACAACACTGGTGTTACTGATAGAGTTGTTAATCAGGTTATTTCTTGTCCATATCTTTTGTTGTTTCCATCCTCTTTTTACCTTGCATAATTTTCATTTTTGTTCAATTAATGCAGTTTCTTACTGAATTGGATGGTGTTGAAGTGTTAACGGGTGTATTTGTATTTGCTGCTACAAGGTTAGCGTCTAACAGGATGGGCTTGGTTTACTATTGCTTTCAAGTTTTTGCCTTCACTTGAATATGTGGTACCCGTATTTCATCTGTTGGCACGTTTGTCGGTTCTTGGCCTAATCAGTGATTGAGCATATATGCAGCCTTGTTATTTTGTTGAGTTTTGTACTACTAGATAGACATTAATGCAGGTTGAAACAGACGCACAGAAATGCACGGGATGGAGAGTGCATCAGTTAGTTTCCAGATTTATTGCCATTGAAGTCTCAAACCGTTAAGTGAGTTTTCCTTAATTGCTAGGTTGGAAATTGTTACACTAAGAGATGGACCACTTCCAGAGGGGAATTTATAGAACAGAGGCATTCTTTAATCTTTTCTCTTCAATCTTTTGCAGGGACTAGTCATTGGGGAAAAAAAAATTCTTTAGGTCAGAGATTAATAGAATCAATTTAGAAATTTTTTTCTGATACTCTCTACTCTCTAAAAGCTAATGGTGCCTCACATAATAATAAGGGGAAAAAAAGGCCAGAAACAACTGCTTGAAAGAACTTGGTTAATATATTTAGTTATTGTCTGTCTGTTGAACATCTTTGTTGAGGAGATTATGAAGAACAAGGGGTCGTATCAAGCTTAGGTGGTCCAAAAGTGTGTAATGCTTTAAAGATCAAGCTAGAGTCTTCCAACTTGGTATCCCTATTTACCATGTTGAGGTTATCGGTTCTGGGCAATCTCATGCGTGTCACTGAAATGGCAAAATACACACGGATATATTTGAATAGGTGTGTACGTGAGTGCTCGAGCACAGGCGAAGACATCTAAAATATTCTATAGATCAGCAGCAGCTTTCTCTTTGACTAAATCCTTTTACTTGACCTATAGTTATTTATCTAATAAAATTTGTCTTCCTTTTACTTGTAAAAAGAAACTAATAACATCTGTCCTCCTTTTAGTTGTGGAATAGGTGATCGGGGGTTGGCAGCGTTATCTCTGTGGCATACAAATTGGCATGCCTGCACCCCTTGCCTTATGACTCTTTGAGAGTGAATACTACATGCAACTCATTCTACTTTAGACCATGGTATTTGTATAGACCTAATGAAATGCCTGTGAGAATATCTCTACTGGAAAGTAATTTTAGCTCATGAATATTTTCCCTTTTTGACCTAATGACATTTAGCTTTAAAGGTACATCAAGTACCTGTGTCTGAATGATGGAATTGAATTCATCACTACATTGTTATGTGGTATTCTTTTATGGAATAGTTAACAGCCGGTGATAAAACTTGTAGCCTAACATTCCATACCCCTGTACTGTTAAGGTTGTCTAATCATGATATACTTCTGCATTTTACTGAATACTTGATCCTTTATGAAGAACAAGAATTCATTAGCCTTCTTTTCTGTGGAAGAATACCATGATGCAATTTCTCTGATCAAGTTTGACCTTTCTTGTCTTCATTTTTAAGCAGTAGACCGGACTTGCTTGATGCTGCACTTTTACGACCTGGAAGGCTGGATCGCCTTCTCTTCTGCGATTTTCCTTCCCAGCGTGAGAGGTTGGAGATTCTTTCTGTTCTATCGAGAAAAGTAAGTCTTATTCTGATTGGGGCACTTCTTTCAATCAATCTCAAAGAGATGTTATATTATGTGGATAATGAGCAGGAGGTGTGGGATGTCTTTCCAGATTAGTTTATGCCTCTTCCCCATTCAACTACATGGTAATGGGGCTTGACTTGATTGGATTTACTCATATTTGCCTCAATTAGGAATAACCTGACAGTACAAATGGATCTTACGAAGGAAAGATCTCATTTGTTTCATTCGGGGCAAAGGAATGTAGAATACTTAGTACAATATTGGGTAACTTTTAGGTTATGCTAAAAGTTAGGTTTCCCAAGGTCACCGATTTCCATGTTCTTCCGATTTAGACTCAGGCTTCCTTGGAATTAGATTGAAAGGTCTTTAACAGTCTTGGTCTATGTTGTGCGGATTTTCCAAATATGTTGTCGTACCCGTGTCAGATCCTCCATAAATGCACTAATTTTGGAAGACCTGATACGCACTGGTGACATATTTGGAGAGCCCGAGTAACATAGGTCTCGGTTCCTTCTTGTCTTTGCAAAGTGACAATATAATGGCGAAGTGTTTGTTAAATCATTTTAAAGAAATGGTAGGAGGGAAACGTGATCATTCCTATGAGTAAAATTTGGGAGGGATCAAGACAATAACAACATATCCAGTATTATCCAACTGTGGGGTGTGGGGAGGGTAATGTGTACGTAGACCTTACCCCCTACCTTGTGAGGATAGAAAGTCTGTTTCCAATAGACGCTCGGATCAGGAAAGTATAAGCACCACATTAATGAAAATATAGACAAGAAGGGACAGCACCAAAAAGCAATATAAAAGCAGAATAAAAACAACAATATAGTAAGGTGATCAACAATGAAAGAAAACAATGGTTAGTCTTAAAAACCTACTACCAACAGAAAGCGAGACTGTGTGCCAATACTACTGTTATGAACACTCTAGACTACTTACCCTACTATCCTAATCCTCGACCTCTCTACCTTCCTATCAAGGGTCATGTCCTCGGTCAGCTGAAGCTGCGCCATGTCTTGCCTAATCACCTCTCCCCACCTCTTCTTTGGCTTACCTCTACCTCTCCGTAGGCCCTCCAATGTCAACCTCTCACACCTCCCCACCGGGGCGTCTGTGCTCCTGCTCCTCACATGACCAAACCACCAAAGCCGCGCTTCCCGCATCTTGTCCTCAATAGGGGCCACGCCCACCTTGTCGTGAATAACCTCGTTCCTAATCCTATCTAACCTGGTGCGCCCGCACATCCATCTCAACATGCTCATCTCTGCTACCTTCATCTTATGGACATGAGCGATTTTGACTGGTCAACACTCAGCCCCATACAACATAGTCGGTCTGACTACCACTCTGTAGAACTTACTTTTAAGTTTCGGTGGCACCTTCTTGTCACACAAAATACCGGAAGCGAGTCTCCATTTCATCCATCCCGTCCCAATTCGATGTGTGATATCTTCATCAATCTCCCCATCCCTCTGAATAATAGAACCAAGATATTTAAAACTTCCTCTCCTAGGGATGACCTGCGAATCCAACCTCACCTCCCCTTCCCCTCCCTGAGTCTCACCACTGAACTTACACTCCAAGTATTCTGTCTTGGTCCTGCTCAACTTGAAACCTTTAGACTCCACGGTCTGCCTCCGTACCTCTAACCAGTAAAGCTTTTGCTTTGACGATGGTCCGTATATTAAATTTTTAAGTATACTTTTATTTGAATGAAGACAGTAACTGATTTACTTGCTTAAATGCAGTTACCATTTGAAAGTGATGTCGATTTGGATGGCGTAGCTCGTTTGACAGAAGGGTTCAGTGGAGCTGACCTCCAAGCACTTCTCTCTGATGCACAGCTTGAGGCTGTCCATGATCTTCTAGATAGTGAAAATGTCGGCAAGCCTGAGAAGAAGCCAATCATCTCTGATGCTCTCCTGAAATCTATTGCATCCAAGGCAAAACCATCTGTTTCTGATGCTGAAAAGCAGCGATTATATGACATCTACAGTCAGTTTTTGGATGCAAAAAGATCAGTGGCTGCACAGGTGCGGTGTTCTTTGCTTAAAGCTGGACTGGGAGATGATTTACCTCCCTATATAGCTTGCTAGTATGATAACCTTTTCTATTGTTTGGTATAGCTAACCTCCATTCAACCATGTTTATTTACAGTCAAGAGAAGCAAAAGGAAAAAGAGCAACCCTCGCTTAACGATTGACTGCTACTCGAGCTCTATGTGCAAGAGCTTGCTAAAGACACACTAGTGACTAGCCTGATCACTTGCAGTAGCTGCATTTTGGGTGGAGTTTGTAATGACACCATCCCTTTTGTCATTTATAGTTCGAAATATCTTGTTGTAGCATTAGTCTTACCTATGTGTGGGAAAGTTGAAAGGGAAAACTTACATTAATCTGCCCGATTCTCAGTGTTATTGGGTATTCGTCTTAGTTTTAGGAGAAGAGCCCATGTCAAATTAGCGAGTGATTCTTACCATTGTTTTTTCTTCTGGACAACTGAAATGCGTCTGCAAACAAAAACTCTGCAATAATGAACACAGATGGCTTCTATCTGTTTCAGCTTTCCCCCCAAGAAAAATGATGAGATCTTCTGCAAAAGTTAGAAGCACAGAAAAATAAATTGAGTAGATGAAGGGTGTGTTTGGGATGACAAAAAATGTTTTCCATGGAAAATGAGTGGTTTATAATTTATTTTTCTTTGTTTGGTTGGTGAGTGTAAATTTTTTTGCCTCACCTCCTTCCTCTAAGTTCCCATGTTTCATGTGCTCTTCTCCCTTCCCCCAAATACCCAACGTTTTCAGGACTTTTTTTTCTTCAATAATTTAATTATTCTTCTAAAAATTCATACAAACCCAAATGAAGTAATGTGTTGCATTACTTTTTTACGCAAAAATAACGTTGAGATTTTTTGTTCCATAACTAAAAAGAAAATACTCTTTTTCTTTTGTTAAAAAAAAGTACTCTTTTTACAACATGAAAATAAAGTACTTATTTTGTTGAAATGAAAGAAAATGTTTTTTTTACATCATAAAAAGAAATTACTTTTATTGTTGAAATGAAAGAAAACACTTTTTCTACATCATGATTTTTTTTTTTTGAAATGAAATAAAATACTTTTTACTATATCATTTTGTTGAAAGGAAAGAAAATACTTTTTTACATCACGAAAAAAAAATACTCATTTGTTAAAATGAAAAAAAAGTACTCTATCTATAACATGAAAAGAAAGTATCATTAAGAATNGGGGGTGGGTGGGGAAGGTTAAAAGAGAGTTTTGGAAAATATTTTCACTTCTCTTGATAGGAAAAACATTTTAAGAAAATGAGTTCATGAGGAAAATATTTTCCAAAATATTTAAGCCAACTAAACATGAAAAATATTTTCCGGAAAATATTTTCCTTCGCACCAAACACACCGAGTTGGATAATCAATTTTTAATTTCATAAGAGTTCGAAGTTTGTTTTCTTCATTTGTTTTATCCTCGGTAGGAATGAAATTAATTCAATCCAGTCTCATTCATCCCTTTACATATGGGTTTTCGAATTTAGCTTGTACCGCTATGGGTTATTTATAACATCTTTGTATATGCAGACTCTATGTAAATAGGTATCAGAAAATGCATATCTCAAAATATTTAGGCAAATAATGCATAATCTCTGTCAATTAGGTACCACATATTCTTTTCTATTCTGTTAATATAAAAATAATATATGATATAATAGCAACAATGATAATGAATACAATATTCTAATATATTAGTGTCTGGGATCATGAAAAAAAGGGAAGAAAGTAGGAAAAAGAATTAAGCATAAGGGTGATGAATGTTGGAAATCGTTGAAATTAGTTTAGTCCAAGTAGACAAAATGATAAAACAAGAGTATTAAGGACCACAGGAATTAATCTTAGAGTGAGTCTGGTATAAATTGAAAATGATGAAGTGGACGTTTTTCTATCTTTATCTTGTTGTAAGCGTATCAAATTTGTTTGGCATTTTCTAGCCCATTTTGGCAAAAAAGTGATGGTTTAATTGTAGCAGCCCATCAGGTTTTTGTTGGACTCTGTGAACACTGGCCCGTAATCCTTCCACTGCACAGAGCGGGAGCTGTTCGTTGCTCTGTTAAACCAGCCTCACGCGGTCCGCCCCACTTTAGGAGCTACGCAACCCATATTTTCACTTGGGCCGCGAAGCCCAACTCTATGCTTGGACAGGGCAGGCTAGAGATTAGCCCACAAAGTCCTACCCAGCTGGAGTCAGCCCAACCATTCCACCACTTTAATGCCCCCACTTGGGTTACAAGCTAACGTTACCAGCTCGGCGAGCAGCATTCATTTACACTTTGTATATAAAAGGGAAACAACTTTCTTTATCAACCGATGTGGGATAGCAATCTTTATGGGATAACTAAAGCTAATTACGACTTCCTAACAGTTTTTCCCTTGCGGATAAACAGAGCTAAATTAGAAATGATTTGCACTGAATAAGATTTTCATGCATAGTTAGTAAATACCAAAATTAATTAGTCATACGTTTATCTGAGACCTATTCTTTAATAAAAATTTTGGGCTCTTAATTTCTTAATTCTTAAAATAACCAATTAAATAGATGTAACGTTTTATTGAATCAAAGACACGTAGACAAATGAAGGAGGAGGTAGTAGAGTCTTCCCTCAAAGAATGAAAAAAATACTAGTTTGTGTCTATGTAAAACCAAAGATTTCCTATCTAATAGGAGTATAAAACACGGAGAACTCTCCGGTGCGTGACATCAACATTTATCTAGAACAAAGAATTACATACCTGATTTTTTTTTCTCATTCGGTATCGGGTAACTATTTTGGGTCCGACTAATTCGAATTCGC